TTTTTTAAAGTAACACTAATATATTAAATTTTATTGTTTCATATTTTCAAGATTTTTGTTTAAATTCAAGCTTCTTTTTTTCTGTTTGTATTATAGATTTTTTTTTTATCATATGTATGTATTTTGATTTTGATTATATATTATAGGCAATCATCTGAATATAAAAATTTTAAAAATTAAAAAAGTAATTGCACTTCAAAAAAATCTTTTAATAAATTTGTTATAATTATCAAACAAAAAGATATGTTAATAATTGATAAGATATGATAGCAAAATNAATAAATTTGTTATAATTATCAAACAAAAAGATATGTTAATAATTGATAAGATATGATAGCAAAATTTGAGAATAAAATAATTGGATTAACAATATGAATTTGAAGAAATGATTTTTTTTTTAAAAAAACAACTGTATTAATATTAAAAGATCAAAAGACCTTATTCAAATTTATCACTTTAGGCCTTATTATNATTTGAGAATAAAATAATTGGATTAACAATATGAATTTGAAGAAATGATTTTTTTTTAAAAAAAACAACTGTATTAATATTAAAAGATCAAAAGACCTTATTCAAATTTATCACTTTAGGCCTTATTATGTGTCGAATTGTTTGGTTAAAACTTTTCTAGCATTTCGGCTTCTGTGGAACTAACAGTGAAAAATCAAAATTGGCATGTTTCGACATCAAAGTTGTAAATAAATAAATAAAATTGTTTCTATTTCAGTTTTGAATGTATTCATTTTTTAGCGAATCAACGAAATAAAATTTTGACCCTTAAATGTATCTCCTCATGACTAACTACAACCGCAACTGCAGCATAAACATTCTAAAGCCGGGATAGTTACAAATATGGATGTAGGGGCTGTTGGGNTTCAGTTTTGAATGTATTCATTTTTTAGCGAATCAACGAAATAAAATTTTGACCCTTAAATGTATCTCCTCACGACTAACTACAACCGCAACTGCAGCATAAACATTCTAAAGCCGGGATAGTTACAAATATGGATGTAGGGGCTGTTGGCAGCGGCCAAAGCTTCCTTGTGATTCGAACCAGTGGTGGCCAAAATTTACCCTGATTATGGAAATTGCTCCTACACCAACATAATAGAGAAGGAGGGCTGTGGATGTTTTTGGTGTTTTTTTTTTTGGGTGTTAGGGGTAACAATTTCTGAGACCACATATAAATAAGACTCGAAATCGATACGAAATTAACGGGTTAAAATTGACTATTTTTCGACACGAAACCGTAAATGATACAACTTATTAGCACGAATTAATGGTCGGGTTAGTGTCAAATACGAAATTGNCTCCTACACCAACATAATAGAGAAGGAGGGCTGTGGATGTTTTTGGTGTTTTTTTTTGGGGTGTTAGGGGTAACAATTTATGAGACCACATATAAATAAGACTCGAAATCGATACGAAATTAACGGGTTAAAATTGACTATTTTTCAACACGAAACCGTAAATGATACAACTTATTAGCACGAATTAATGGTCGGGTTAGTGTGATACGATTAACACGTTTAACTAATATTATAGGAATAAAATGTCAATTTATTATTATTTTTTTCTCAAGCATCGACATAATCCTCGTACGCATTTATTTTTATTATTATATTTATTAAGTTAATTTTTAGTTTATTCAAAAAATATTAGTGTGAGATTGATTTGAAGATAATATAGTATTAGACTTAAATTTCGGTAATAAACTTTTGATTCACGTGTTATATATAGGTTAACACGAATACGACACAAAATAATTAATTAATTGAGTTGAATTTAAGTTGACTAGTACTCGACATCAACTCGTAAATGACACAACAGAAATACGAACTTGGTTAATTACCACCCTTAATTAGGTTCGCATGTTTATGCGACAGTGGCATCCCCTTTACTGCTTTTGTTTTATGGGAATGATAGCCTATAGCCCTANGGTAATAAACTTTTGATTCACGTGTTATATATAGGTTAACACGAATACGACACAAAACAATTAATTAATTGAGTTGAATTTAAGTTGACTAGTACTCGACATCAACTCGTAAATGACACAACAGAAATACGAACTCGGTTAATTACCACCCTTAATTAGGTTCGCATGTTTATGTGACAGTGGCATCCCCTTTTCTGCTTTTGTTTTATGGGAATGATTGCCTATAGCCCTAAGCCCTTACCCCAAAACCATCCCCCATCAAATCCAATTTAAGGTGAGCATCAATCTCACTGCACTTTTTCACTTACTGTTATTCTTACCCTTCCTGCAACTATTATTTTCACCCATTTTCTCTAAAAATTCAAGCACATTGCAGTTAAGGACAACCCTTGATTAGAATTATTGAACAGTTAAAATTTCTGGTGGTTAGTCTTAGTCTTACCAAAGGCTTCTTCAGATTTCTTGTTAAACATTTTCAAAAAGTGAAAGGTTGCTTCAGTTGGAGAAAAGAAACTTTAAGTGTTTTTTTTCTTATCATGGGACCCTCATCTTTAGGAAATTGTCTGATATACAAACAAGAAAAAATAATATTCTTTCCTTGAGGTGACCTCAGTGCTTGAAGCCATGAAATGGTTATGTTTAGTCAAGGATGGAAGGATGAAAAAGCAAAACAAAACAAAACTACTAAAGAGGGGACAAATTTATGATATACCTCTTATCTATAAAGTATATAAACCATGAAGTGACTATTTCCTTTTTTGTACTCTTCATTTGGGTAGGTTCAAGATGGTATAATTGTAATGTATGGCCAAACTACACTTTGACCCCTCAAACAGTGCCCTCCAACTCTTTTTGTCATCTGCAAGATCTCATTTCTCGCATTACCCCCTTTAATAATTAGATTTGGTTTCAAATTGCCTCAAAACTAAACATCCGGTTTCAAAAAATGTTTGCATGTGTAGTAAGCTATGTGTTTTTAATGTCTCCAATTGGATATGCAATGTGAAAAATATGATAGTTGAAGGTGTAATGTGAANGCATGTGTAGTAAGCTATGTGTTTTTAATGTCTCCAATTGGATATGCAATGTGAAAAATATGATAGTTGAAGGTGTAATGTGAAAATTTTGATAGTTAAAGGGGGCAATGAAAGACATAGCATATTTCATTTGTTCATGAACAGGAATGATTTCTAAGAGATATAGCTACTACCCTCTCCTAATTTGTTTTGTCTTGTGTGTGAGGAGAGCNATATTTTGATAGTTAAAGGGGGCAATGAAAGACATAGCATATTTCATTTGTTCATGAACAGGAATGATTTCTAAGAAGAGATATAGCTACTACCCTCTCCTAATTTGTTTTGTCTTGTGTGTGAGGAGAGCCATTTATTCAAATATTGTCAAAAATGGATCAGATAAGGGATTAGTCGAGGTGCGCATAAGTTCACTCTGGACACCTCTAATTGTTGAACAAAAAATTAAAAAAATATTGTCAAAAATTAGATATGTATCGAGTTTATCCCTCTAAATACCTTCTATTAATATAACATAAATTGAATACTGCTTCCTCTCTTTTTTTTTAACCTTTTTTGTGGACCTTCATATCTTTCTGAGACATGATGATTGACCTCTTGAAAGAAGTTCCTCACTCAATGCAATGGAGGGAAAGAAAAAGCTTTCCCCATCCCCTCTCTCTCTCTCTCATGGTCTTCTGTATCATTTATGTTGCAATTATTGTTTTCAAGAATTTTTCATGGGTTATTGGCTCCAATTTTGTCTATATGCATAGTTTAGCTTGTTTAATAAAACTTTTATTGTTTAACATGAAACTTCTTAAATAATTCAGATATAAGCTTTAGTGCTTCTGACAAAAGTTGTGGGCCCCTCCTGTGCAAGTTTTTAGGGAAAAAAATTTGAGGAATAAATGTAGCTATGGTCTACATCACCTGCTTTTCTAGCCCTTTTCCTTTTTGTTACAGACCCATTTCTTTCTTCACTTGAATCATGGCTGTTCTGGTACTGCATAGCTGTAAAATATCCAAACATTGATTCTCTCTTTTTTGTGCTCTGATTTTCTCTGAGTTCTCTTTCATTTTGTAAATGGTATTTAATCGCACACCTTTTCTATTATACTATAGCATAGGAATTTAATAGTATACAGATTGCTACCCTTTTTGCAGCCTTTGTTTTTTTAGTTTTGATTGGCAGCTTTCTTTTTCTTTGTCCATTTAGTGGGAGATTTTGTGATATGTTGCCACCTTTCAATGATGAATGCAAGTGGTCTTGTTGGCCTTGGTTGGGTCATGCAGTATTGCTAACAGGGTTTTTTACTTGCTTGTAATGAGTTTTTCTACTCGACTTGTCTAATTTGTGTTCATATCATTGATATGCTTTTCTTGCCATAAATTAAAAAAAAAAGTGATGCAATTTTTTACTTTATGCATATCCACACTCTTGTTTAAATTATTAGGAGTTCTGCAAGATTTATGTTGATGGTAAGTTATCTAACGTAGCCCTTTTGCTTTATCGGGGCTTCTGACTTGGTGTGTAAAAGATAGGTATTAAACACATGTGCATAGATAAACTGTTCTATAAATAACTAGGTGTATGATGAGTTTTACACTATCTGTCAACTATCTAACATAACTCTCTTACTTTATCTGACTTGAGAACAGTTGAGTACATGATAGACGCTTGTATTAATGAAATGGAGAAATACAAGTAGATCTTGCTCCTAATTAGAGCCAAAGGTGGTTCATCCCGGTTAAATCGGGTTGGATCATAAGTTGTGGCACTAGTAATTTTTCAAAAGTGAATGATTTTGGAAGAACCAATAGGCCATTCTTGTTATAGCTTTCCAGACAGGAAGGCCCATACTTTTGACTTCTTGCAGACAAGGTATAGTATTCATGAAGTTAGGCATAAGGATCATGAACATTAGGACATAAAAATATGTAGAACTGGGATTATCTTTTAACTTTGTCTATACATTTTTTTATTCTGTATAAAGCTTGCTAGGCTGGAGCTGCATTCTATAATAAACTTGTAGTGATATTGGTGTCTTGTTCTTACCTGACAGGTGACCCGTAGAATAGGAAGAGTGAGATAATGAGTGCTCCTATTTGTCAGGATAAAAAGCCCAAGGCATTGAAGTTTCTTCTAGCAGGTTGGTTTTATACTGTTCTTTTTCTTATGTGTTCACTCTCTTCAACAATTAACAAGTTGAGCTTCATAGAGAGTTTTGGAAGTTGATCTCTTTTGTCCCCCTTTTTGGGTAATTGTTAGCAAATAATTTCATCTTTGTTTTGGTTTTGCTTTTGCTTTCTTGCTATTTGCCATTTTAGCTCCTGCTTGTGGGAATTAAAGATTAAAGAGCTTTTCATCCTTACATAATGGTTTGGATTCTAACTGTTTGTTTTTGAATCTGCATCAATCATTTATCATGTTTCTTGGGTTTTTCAGTAGCTTCCTAATGATGAAAATTATGAACAGTTTGTTGGAAATTGGCCAGTTAAGGTTGCAAGGCCCATAATGTTCATGGAGACTGAGTTCAATCAAACATTGTGTGATAGGATTTTCAACTGTGAAAACTTCATTTGCATTTACGAAAGCATGAGACACTATGGGTGAAGCACATAATCTTGGTAACACAACACCAGTTGATGAAACTACTTGAAAGGGAATNTAGGATTTTCAACTGTGAAAACTTCATTTGCATTTACGAAAGCATGAGACACTATGGGTGGAAGCACATAATCTTGGTAACACAACACCAGTTGATGAAACTACTTGAAAGGGAATTCATCCCACTTTGCTCTTTTATTTCATTCAGTTCTATCTTATTCTGGAAATTTTGAAATGAGTATACTGGTCTCAGACAAATCAAGGGAAGCAAGTTTAAGAGACAAGAAGAAAATTGGATAATGTAAAAGGGGAGATGAGACTAGGCGGAAAATTTTCGAGATGAAGGAAAATCGGCTAGGGAAATAGTGTCAACAGTAATAGGACACTTGATCCTTTCCACATTTGTAATTTGAACTTTTTTATCAGCATTGTCCATTTATTTATGAGATTGTTCCTGTCAAAATTAAATTATGATGATGTCTGTTTGCAATATCGGTAAGTTATAAAGGACTAAGAAAGGCAGCAATTCATTCTTATAAATTTGAAGTAAGCCAATCTTCCAATGCTTTGTTTAATCATCTTTTGGTTTTTTTTTTTTTGTTTTCGGGTTTTCTTGGGGAGGTTGAAATCATTTAGAGCTGTCATCATTTTGGTGGGGGGGGACCAAGTTCATTCCATTTGTTTTGCTATGATTCCATTTGAAAGGTTGGGAAGTTTTTGTAAAACATATACCGCGGCATTACACATACAAACTAAAGCATACGATACACGTTATCTGTAAACAAATGACATTAATATGGATTCACACACACTACACATAAATTGATTGCAAAACACATAAATGTGGGGAAGTCTGTATTGGCCTTATTGCCTAATTTTCCTTCGTTAGTTTGAAATAATTTCCAGTGTAGTGAGAGATTTCAAAGTTTATCTGTGTGAAAATCTTGATTTTTCACTTGACATTTTTTTTTCCTTCCCAGCAGGGGTAATGTGCATTAGCAAATGAGCAGAGACACAATTCTGGAAGAACCAACAGCTGCAGTTATAGTCATGTTTGAATGAATCCTATTGCTTATTAGCTAAATCTCTCTGTTCCACCTCCTCGACCTCAGGACAATAATCAGGAAAAAATTATCATTATGAATGAGTACAATTCTGAAAGATCAAAGCCATGGGACATCTACACTAATTCAGACCCTAATAGCCCCTCTCAAACCGGAGTCGATCGGGAACCTCCTTGGAAGAACTTTGGCACATCCATGAATGCCATTTCCTTTGGCTTTGTTGCTACAGCACTGTTAATATCAATGTTTCTTATCATGGCCATCTTTGAACATCTGTTTAGGCCAAATGCTTCTTTCTCTTCTCCTCAAGATGATGCCCGGAGGCCCCCAGTATCAAGAACAATGCAGAAACTTGGAAATCAACAAACAGTAAGTCTCTGAATTTTATTTCTTGTTATTAACCTTCAATAAGGGAGCCACACCCATAAGAAATGTGACATTTTAAATTGAAAATTTGATAAATTTCAAAAAATACTGGTTGCTTTGATGCAAAATAAGTAAAGTACTTCTTATCAATATTATATAAGCCCATTTCTTTTCTTCCAAAAGATCTCTCACTGATTGAATGGAGAAAATATTAGAGAAACTTTTTTTCTCATTCATTTGCTGTTGAGAACAAACAGAAAGTAAAAGAAATTGGATTAGACCCATTTTATTATAGCTGTGTGTTCTTTGCTTAGAAGTTATTCAAAACTGCAGAGAAAAATAAACTTCTTTTCAAAAATCTCAATGAATTTCTCTCCAAACACAGATAGAAATCAAGTTCTTGCATGTTTCCTTTCACCTCCTTTTCTTCTTGTCCAATCTCAACGGTTTTTTTTTTTTTTCAATGATCAAAATTTCATTTTGGTGCATAGTTTCGGTTAGCTTGGAAAATTGAAATGATTCCAAAATATCCATAAACATTTCAAAACATCTGAAATAGAAGAATTTTGATTTTGCATCAGTTTCCACTGAAACTGAAACGTATATGTTGTTTTGGTCGAAATGAAACGAAATTCGATCCTTGATCTTTTCTTCCACATCCCCATTTTGAAATGAGTGCCCTAATTCTTAAAAGGATATTGTTTTCATCTGCAAAAACTTGCTATTTTATGAAGAGAATATTGATAATATGAGGACATAGAAACTGAGAAAGCACAAGTTTATCACCTAAAAAAACACACACCCCTTTCTTCATATATGCTCATTACCTTCACCATTCTAAAATGGGTCATCTTTGTGACAGGTATCAATGTCATATGCATCAGATATCTCAGTACTGATGCCAGGACAGAACTATCCTTCCTTCATTGCCCAACCTGCTCCTCTCCCCTGTCCGAGAGAAGGCGTTTATTGGCCACCCCATGAACAAAATTTTGCCTTGGTGTAGCCAATGATACTACTTCAACTCGGGCCATACACTGTGGCTGTATGTAAATTTACAGAATGGCTAAAGAAGCCTAAGATCATCTGTCGTATACTCCCTTTATCTAGTTAAGTACATGCATCTTAGCTACTTCTTTGGATTTACTGAAGGCAATATTTTAAGTGGTGACATGAAAAATACAAATTGCTCGAATCCCAAATAAATTTTGATTTTATCACATACCTTACTCTTATGGATTATGAAAGGTGTATGCATAATTTACTTGGATGATCATGTGTTCCCTTACTTACATCTCCCCTTTTGGAGAGTTTAGGAATCAACTTCTCCAAATGGGATAAGTTTGTCTACTATTTACCACTATAAGATCAGTCACCGGTAGGCCTGTCAATTGTGTCGGGTGTGGAGAGTTCATGTCAAGTTTTAGTGAATTTGTATCAAGAATCACTTCATTCATACTCAATTCGTTTATTAATTCGTGTCTAACGAATCGTGTCATATCAGATTCGTGTTGTGTATGAACTGTGTATAACTAGTATATAAACATATCGTACCATATATTTTTTCTGATTGATTTCACACATACCCGATTCGTTTGTTAATTGGATTGTGTCGAGTCCACTCGTTTACTAAACGGGTGGCTTTAAGAAAGATCTAAAAATTTTAAACTCTCTAATTTCGTGTCGTGTTAACGGGGTCGTCTTATATTTTGACACTCTTAACTATACTCGGAAGCCTTGTACCACAAGTATAGAGTTTATTATTTTTTGTGTTATATATTGCTTGATGTCCTGAGAGGATGAACCTGCCAACATATATTAATGGTCTAAAGGAGTCTGGTGAACTTTCCTTTCTAGACAATTGTTCTTGCTTTCTCACGGGAAGGAGTTAAAAGAATTCTTTGCACATAAGAAAAAAAAAAATTCTAGAGAAGAAATGTTATAGAGATGCTTGAAAATATGCTTCAGATGATTGAATTGCATTTCAGAGAGGACCTGGAGTCACCAATGCGGTGAAAGTTTGAGTCTCGAAATCAATCTCTCTTCAAAATAGAAGTAAGGTAGCCTATCATTTATTTCTTCGAGACTTCACTATGGCAGGCCCTCCGCCGGGGGAGGGAGGGGGGGGGGAGGAAGCTGTATAGGACTTGACTCAACTATATATGACTACAAATAGTTTTAGTATAAATTTAGTAAATTTGACATTAACACAACTTAAACACCATTCAAACCCGACATAAACATTAAAATAGCCCTGCTGAATATGCTTGACACTCTTTGCAAGAAAGAACTGGCAATGAAACACTGTTTTAAACGATAGGCACATAGCGATGTCGAATTGTTTTGATACAATTTTTATGTTAAATTACCAGCTAACAAAGGATGAATCCTTTTTTTCTTCTCGCGAACGATGGGAGCACCTACCACCTAGAGGAATCAATCTCATTCTCCTTTCAGATTAAAGCGGCACTTAAAAAAGCCTGGTCCGTCAAAAGTCCAGTTCCTTCGCAAACAAAGTTGAGTATCAACAAAGATTTGTAGAACAAAGAGTTTACAACTGACTTAAAAAGTATAAAATGATAGAGAATGCAACTTAAATGTGTATACTTCAATATGCCTTCACGTGTAGTATAAAATTTGAGCGTTATAATTTTCTAATGATCAAGATTACTTGTAATAAATAGCGGATTGAATTGGTTATGGACTAGTTCAAGATGAGTTAGATGCAAAACAAATTCAATCTATTTTTAACTCGTTTAATAAGTAGGTTATAATGAGTTAAATCATAATGGGTTGAATTAAACTCATTAACCTGTAAAATAATTAAAATTTTTAATATAAACACATATTAATGCACCAAAAATATACACTAATACACTAAAATGCACACATTAATACACTAAAAATACACACAAACATACCAACACACATATTTAATAAAATACACAAGGGTCGGGGTTGGGATCGGGTCATGGGTCTGATCGGGTGCATCAATATATATGTTAAATTGTTAATGTATATTTGCAAGTGGATGTATGTGTATTTTTTGATATATTAATATATTTATTTAATTTCATTACTTATGTTATTTANTACACCAAAAATATACACTAATACACTAAAATACACACATTAATACACTAAAAATACACACAAACATACCAACACACATATTTAATAAAATACACAAGGGTCAGGGTTGGGATCGGGTCATGGGTCTGATCGGGTGCATCAATATATATGTTAAATTGTTAATGTATATTTGCAAGTGGATGTATGTGTATTTTTTGATATATTAATATATTTATTTAATTTCATTACTTATGTTATTTAATAGAAAAATAAATATTCAACTCAATAAATACTCATTTATAATCTATCTTAACCCACTTAATTAAAATAAATCCTATTATCCAAACTCTCATAAAACACGCACTAATTAATATAAATACTTAACCTATTTAAAACCCGCATTAATTAATATAAATACTCAACTCATTTCTTTATGAACCAATTGGGCAAGTTAATAAATAATGGGTTAAAATTACCACCCCTGATGGCACCATCTTAACCACCATCTTCTCTAGAAAATGAAGCTACTAGCGTGAGTTTATACTTCAACGATTTCTGCAAAAGAGCAAATTCGAAGTCCTGTTTACAGGCAACAACACGACTAATCTACATTAGAANCCTATTTAAAACCCGCATTAATTAATATAAATACTCAACTCATTTATTTATGAACCAATTGGGCAAGTTAATAAATAATGGGTTAAAATTACCACCCCTTATGGCACCATCTTAACCACCATCTTCTCTAGAAAATGAAGCTACTAGCGTGAGTTTATACTTCAACAATTTCTGCAAAAGAGCAAATTCGAAGTCCTGTTTACAGGCAACAACACGACTAATCTACATTAGAAACACGATTTTACCCATGAAAAATTGACCCCCAAAAAAAAAAAAATTACTCGTACAATCACCGGGGAAATTTTCCATTCTGTTCGGTTGGGCAGAGCTCTAGTTTGCTATGATAAGCATTTTAGTTTCAAAATGAGCAAACTGTATATCAATATGAACCATAACTAGCTATCAATTTTCTCCTTTGAAGAGAGAGAGAAGGAAAACACACTCTCACTGCTCCTCGGACTCTTCTTCATCGGGTAATATCACAGTCAGTAATGAGTACTTAACCCGAAGTGAGATCCTGCCCTTCTCAACCATAAGTCTAGCCCCGGAGACAACCCAATACCCGGGAGTGTCCTGTGGCCCTCTCGTCATCTCTGTTGAGTCCACCAACTTCAGGAGCTTGGGTGCCTGAACAGGAACTGGAGGCCCTCCAGGGTAAACTGCAGAGTTTATGTTCACATCAGCTGGTTGTGGAGGCAGCTTCTGAACTGCTGTGAAACGATGGCTTATCAAAGTTGACATAAGTCCAGATTTACGGGTCAATCCTGGGGAACCTTCCCATTCTGGATGCTTTGCAGCAGCAGCTCCCAGGACAGTCGAGAAGCGGAGTCTTAAGAAGAGAACCTTTTTCAACCCATAATCCCGAACTTGTAATTGGGCTCCGGTAACTATGGAATGTTCCTCGTCAGACTCAACTGGAGCAGTGCAAACGTGGGAGTAGTTCTTCCAGTGAACTTTCTCATAATATTTACGATCATGGGACTCCTGAGGGAAGTTGCCCATTGGATCGTCTTTGAGTTGCAGGAGTTTCGGAAGAGAGGAAAGGTGCTGCAGGTGGATGGCCAGTCGGTTGCTTCTTTTACCTTCTAGAAATAGTCGGAGGCCAGTCACAGGCCTCTTACCCACATCCACCTGTCATGAAATCGTTAATAGGAGTATATCCCAGTAAGTTATCGAGAGAAGCATTTAGACAAGAAAAGGTCAATGCTTTGCATGCTAGATCTGAATCAACAAAAAACACGAGATCTCAAAGTTTTTGAATACGGTACTCATTTTTGGGCTCCAAGTTGAACCAAAGTATCAGAATTTTCTTAAACTATTTCTTTGAGCTAAAATAGTTTAGCAATATGAAACTGAACAGAAAGTAATACCAATAAGAGATGGATTCAGTAAGATCAAATATTGCCCCAAATTGGCCACTTTATAGCTGGGCCGGAGAAAAAAAAACCAAGCATATACATTTCTTGAAAAGATAAAACAGCCCAGAAATTTAACTAAATATAACCAGCGCTACTAATGAAGATTGCTCCATAAAAATAGACCAGATGCATTGCCATATGTAGATATCAATATTTAGTTGAAGAAAAGTTCGCTTTATACACCAATCAGCTAATACAAGTAACACAACTATGAGAACACAAAATAATACTAGTTTATGAAAACCCACTAAATCATGATGTAAATGGTTCAATAACAAGCTTCCTTAAAATGACAAGAACAATAGTACTAATATTATTCCCGGCATCATATATAGGAGTTCACACATTAGACTGGTTCGCCAAGATGAGGAGGTGACGCAAATAACCCGACCCATTCATTTAACCGTTTGGACTTCACTTATATGCAAATGTTGTTCTTCAAAATTCAAGCCATCCTTGAGCCACTTATTAAGGTTTGTTGCCCAATCCAAGCAGACCCAAGCTCAAATGAGGTGGGCTAATGACATCTAGTTAGGGAATTTTACATATTATTTTATGGGAAAATTATAGATTACCGTCCTATAATTTGACTCTGTAACAAGTAACGGTCAAAGATTAAACTTAAAATATTTTTAATAAAATGACTTATACCATTATACAAATAATATTTCTTATTTTCCCTTTCTCTAAAATAAATCAATCTCTCTNTCATGCAGTCGCCTGACTCCCACATCCCACAAATATTCTAAATGAATTCAGCAACACAAAGAAAAAAAAGGAATGTGTTTTGTTCGAAATATTGTTTATTAGAAAAAAAAAATAGACCAGCGATAGTTTAAAAAAAAAGTCATTAGTGATTAAAAAATAAAAGAGACTACTAACCTGTAATCAAAAAAAAAAAAAAAAAAAAAGGGAAGCAAAATCGACTCTTATAATAAAGCGTTCGTTTTTTTCGCTTCTTTGCTTTTTCTCGCTTCGCTCACATTCGCTTCGCCTGGGGTCCTCCAGGCGAGATAAGCTCGCCTCGCCCCGCTTCTCGCCTAGGCGAGCTTTTCAAAACACTGCTTTCATGACCATGAGTGTGTGACTTATTGGGAACTTTGTTATGATATGCATTATTTCTAAATTAAGGCCAGTTTAGTCCTTTGTATTATAGGCCTATATATATGTTGCGTGTAGTTGTTTAACCTAATACATTACACTCTTTTCTTAATCTCTTTCTCTCTTGTTCTCTCTTATTCTCCAAAACTCTTTACGCCGTAATAATTTAACTTGGTATCATAACATCGATTATTGCGTCTCAAAGTTGTTGAAAATTCATCGGAAACTCATTGGAAATTAGTCGTCGCAATAAACAGTGACTGACATCACTTTCAGGTATGCTAACATCAGCACCAAACCTGTCAGAATTTTTTGAGGTTTGGACCATTTGGATCGACTTCGGATGCTGAGTATTGTGGTAAGTCTTGTGGAATTTTTCAAAACATTCTGAATGGTTTATTGATTTTTTGAATGTTTTGTGGGATAATTTGGTTTGAAGTCGCGACTGCCCTCCTGATGCAAGCAGTAGCTTTTTGCCTGGTTTTTCCCACTCAAACAGCATCAACTAGGGCTAATCTTGAATGCCCATAGCCTTTTGATGGTTTTTGGTCGGATTTGAGACAATTTTGTGCCTTGTCTATGTATTGGCACCACTGGTTTGGTGTGCCAGTCTACTGTACTTCATTGTTTGGCTTGACAAGAAGTGTTTTGCCTTTTGGTTTGGGCTCTTTCTGTTACTTAAAGACTGTACGATTATTGTGAAGTCGTTCCCTTGGTTTGATCTGATTGTTGATGTATGATTTCTTGGGATTCTTGCTATTTTTTTTGTTGATTATATTGTGTGAATATGTAGAAAGTGAGTGTGACATCTTCTGGTATTGGAGGAAATACCGAGGTACTGGATTCAACCGTTTAGGTACCTTAGCAAACAATCCCTCTCTCCAAATTAGTCCATAGAAGCTGGACGAGAGCAATTATCTGGCCAGACTTGTTTACAATCCATCCAAGTAATCTCCTCATATGGGTATTTGACCGGAGAGACAAAGAAGCCGATTGAGTCTGACCCATCCTTAAAGCAGTGGACATCTAAAAATGCCTAAATTATGTCTTGGTTTCTTAATTAAATGCAACCTTCTATCAGTCGAGGTTTTTCGTTACTTGATATAGCACAAAACTTGGACTATTGTTGCTCACACATATTCTCAAATGGACAATTATGCTAAGGCATACAATCTACGAAAAAAGTCTAGGAGAATAATCAGAAGGATAAGACTCTTAGTTGACCACTTTATGGTAGGAGCTTGACTACTATCAGAGCTTACAAGCAGATTGTACTAATAATAATGCTGTCAAATTTCAGCAAATAATAGAAAAAGAATGAGTATATGACTTTCTTGCGCCCCTTAATATTAAGTATGATTAGGTTCCAATTCAAATTTTGGGTCATATCCATTTCTCACTTTACGGGAGGCTTTGTTCGGCAGGAAAAGAGTCTAAGGGATTGCTATAGTTTATGCTCTTCTTCAAGAATATTCTGGTTTGGTTGTTATCCCTCAACATGACTTGGGTTCACTCTTGCCCAAGTCTACTGAGACGAGTGGCACTGTTTCTAAGGATATCTTAAAATGAGATTATTGTAGGAAAACCAAACATACTAGGGAGTTCTGTCAGACTGGACGTCCAACATGTGGCCGAGGGGATAATGTGCGAAATCATACACATGATTGAATCATCAGATTCTTCATCTCAGTCTACTTCCTCTAATTTCTCTCAAGATGAAATGTAGACTCTTAGGCATCCGATGGCTCAACTTGNTATCAGACGTTGACTGGACGTCCAACATGTGGCCGAGGGGATAATGTGCGAAATCATACACATGATTGAATCATCAGATTCTTCATCTCAGTCTACTTCCTCTAATTTCTCTCAAGATGAAATGTGACTCTTAGGCGTCCGATGGCTCAACTTGATGTTTCCTCTACTACAACTCCTACCACTGCATCTTCATCCAATTTTGCTCATTCAGGTATATCTGCTAATGCATTTATTGCGTCATCCTCCAACACTCCTTGGATAATAGATTGTGGAGCCACGGGTCACATAGCAGGTTCTTCTAGTCTTTTCTCTTCATATTCTACATGTTCTTGTAGGGATAAAGTTAAAGTAGTTGATGGATCTTTATCCTCTATTTCTGAGAAAAATTCAATTAATTGCTCACCCTCTTTATCTCTCTCTTTTGTTGTTCATGGTCCATTAATTTATTTTCTGTTAGTAGTATTACAAATCCTTAAATTATTTAGTGACTTTCTTCCCTACTTATTGTACTTTTCAAGAACTGGGATAAGGAAAAACAACTGTCAATGATAGAGCGCATGGTGGTCTATATCTCTTGGATGCTAAAGTTTCTCCTCTGTCTACTTGTCAAGCTCTCCAGGCAAAAGGTATTTCAACTCTTTAATTCTTACATCAGTGGCACAGACATTTGGGACATCTCTTATTTAGCGTTTAGAACATCTTTTTCCTAGTCTAGTAAAACAGTATAATAAACAAGTTTTTGTTTGTGATGATTATTAATTTCTCAAGCATAAACGTTCATCTTATCCTAGTACTAATAATAGAAGTACTGTTCCTTTTGTTGTTATTCATTTTGACATATAGGACCCTCCCCGTGTCAAGTATATTTTTGGTTATCGTTGATTTGTAACCTTTATTGATTGTTGTTCTCTTCTTACTTGAGTTTACCTACTATGCAATAAAGGTGAAATTTTCTCATGTTTTAGATCTGTTCATAAAATGGTCAATACTCAATTTGATGNACTAATTTATTTTCTGTTAGTAGTATTACAAAATCCTTAAATTATTTAGTGACTTTCTTCCCTACTTAATGTACTTTTCAAGAACTGGGATAAGGAAAAACAACTGTCAATGATAGAGCGCACGGTGGTCTATATCTCTTGGATGCTAAAGTTTCTCCTCTGTCTACTTGTCAAGCTCTCCAGGCAAAAGGTATTTCAACTCTTTAATTCTTACATCAGTGGCACAGACATTTGGGACATCTCTTATTTAGCGTTTAGAACATCTTTTTCCTAGTCTAGTAAAACAGTATAATAAACAAGTTTTTGTTTGTGATGATTATTAATTTCTCAAGCATAAACGTTCATCTTATCCTAGTACTAATAATAGAAGTACTGTTCCTTTTGTTGTTATTCATTTTGACATATAGGACCCTCCCCGTGTCAAGTATATTTTTGGTTATCGTTGATTTGTAACCTTTATTGATTGTTGTTCTCTTCTTACTTGAGTTTACCTACTATGCAATAAAGGTGAAATTTTCTCATGTTTTAGATCTGTTCATAAAATGGTCAATACTCAATTTGATGCCAAAGTCAAAATCTTTTGTAGTGATAATGGAACCGAGTATATTGACGGAGAATTTCATTCTTAATTCAATGAGAATGAAATTCTATATCAGACCATATGTGCGAGTACCCGGAACAAAATGGCGTTATTGAACCAAAAAAAATTGTCCTCTTCTTNTTTATTGACGGAGAATTTCATTCTTAATTCAATGAGAATGAAATTCTATATCAGACCATATGTGCGAGCATAGTTATCAAATCGTGTATCGGAAGGCGTATCGTAAGATACAAATATTGTANTCTTGAGGCAGCTCGTTCATTGTTTATTATGAATGTTCTCCAATCTTTCGTGAGGATGTTGTTCTTCCTACTGCTTATCTTATTAATCGTCTACCTTCGAGTGTCCTTCAGTTTAAGTCACCAATTAAATGCCTTTTTTAATTTTCTCACATCCCTTCTATTTATTTCCTTCCTTCTAAAATTTTTGGGTTTGTTTGTTTTGCACATAATTACATACCCTCCAGGGGAAAACTTGATCCTCAAGTTCTGCGATGTGTCTTTGTTGGTTATTTTGCCACCAAAAAGAGCTATAAATACTATCATCCATAGTCTCAAAAAATACATTTTAACATAAATGTCACCTTTCGAAAATTTGAGCCCTTTTACTCTACTACCCAAACATCTCTTCAAAGGGAGAATATCACTATAGAGAAAGAGATGTTAATAAGGGGGAGCAATAAATTATGGAGAAACAGTGATTCACATCGCGATCATCTTCCCAAGAATAATCTTAACACTTATGCTTGACGTCAAATGGTACAGTTTACCTATGTGCCACCGAACCAATTGAATTCCACTACTCCAGTTCCATCATCCCTGATTTATCAAGTAATGAATCTCCTGGTGTTACTCTTATTANCACAAGAATAATCTTAAGACTTATGCTTGACGTCAAAAGGTACAGTTTACCTATGTGCCACCGAACCAATTGAATTCCACTACTCCAGTTCCATNCCCAAGAATAATCTTAACACTTATGCTTGACGTCAAATGGTACAGTTTACCTATGTGCCACCGAACCAATTGAATTCCACTACTCCAGTTCCATCATCCCTGATTTATCAAGTAATGAATCTCCTGGTGTTACTCTTATTATGAATAATCTAATTGTTGATAATTTTGGGCTTCCCATTGCAATCAGAAAGGGGTTTGGTGTTTACATCCTATCTCTAACTTTATTTCTTATGATTCTTTATCTCCATCCTATCGTACATTTGTCTCCTCCTTNAAAAAGGGGTTTGGTGTTTACATCTTATCTCGAACTTTATTTCTTATGATTCTTTATCTCCATCCTATCGTACATTTGTCTCCTCCTTATCTTTTGTATCTATCCCTCATGCAAGGATCAAAATTTCATTTCAAAACGTCCAAAACGTTTCTATTTTCAAGAAAACCAAAATGAATCAATAATGAAATTGAAACTCTAATACTTCGACATGTTTCATAATATTTCGAAGTATTTTGTAATGTTTCAATTTATTTACACAATTGTTTTGAAATGTTTCAAGGTATTTTAAGATACTTANGAAAACCAAAATGAATCAATAATGAAATTGAAACTCTAATACTTCGACATATTTCATAATATTTCGAAGTATTTTGTAATATTTCAATTTATTTACACAATTGTTTTGAAATGTTTCAAGGTATTTTAAGATACTTAGGTATATTTCAACCAATATTTTAAAAAAATAATTTTTAAATATTTTAATTTTTTCATTTTGTTTTCAAAACAAGTTAAAATATTTTTTTTTTCTAGGTGATTGAAATAATACACCAAAATAAAATTTTGATCCTTCACCATAGGGTAGAAAAAAGGTTTTCACTAATCCCAAGTGGTGAGAAACTATGGTAAAAGAAATAAAAGCCTTGAAAAAGAATTGACCCATGANTCAAAATATTTTTTTTTTCTAGGTGATTGAAATAATACACCAAAATAAAATTTTGATCCTTCACCATAGGGTTGAAAAAAGGTTTTCACTAATCCCAAGTGGTGAGAAACTATGGTAAAAGAAATAAAAGCCTTGAAAAAGAATTGACCCATGAGAGCCTATTTCTATTCCCTCCAAGTGCACGAACACTAGGGTGCATATGGGTGTTAACTGTGAAACAACAAACTAATGATTATCAAGAGATACAAAGCTAGGATGGTTGTTAAGAGATTTACGCATACATATGGTATTGATTATTAAGAGACTTTTACTTTTGTGGCAAAGATGAACTCCATACATACGCTTATCTCCTATGCAGCTAATTTGGGGTGAAATTTGCAGCAATTAGATGGAAAGAATATCTTTCTTTCACAGAGATTTGAGGGTGGATGTGTACATGGAGATTCTTCTAAGTTTTTCATCCCAAATAACTGAAGGAAAGATATGTAAATTGAAGAAATCTCTTTATGGATTGAAGCAATCCCCCAAGCCTTGGTTTGATAGGTTCCTTGAGGCTATATTGAAGTTTGGATATAAACAAAGTCAGGCTGACCATACTATGTTTATCGGATAGGTTGATGACAATGAAGTCACCAAATTGAAAGCTCAATTAACTAATGAGTTTGAAATCAAAGACTTGAGTCCATTAAGATATTTCATTGGGATTGAGGTTGCCAAGTCAAATAAAGACATTTTTATCTCCTAGAGAAGTATATCATTGACCTTCTTGAAAAGACATGGATGTTGGGATATAGATCTACAAATTTCCCTATTGAGGTCAACCATCGACTTAGTGGTGGTATTGGTGAGGTAGTAAAAAATGAGAAATACTAGAGACTAGTGAGAAGATTAATCTATCTGTCACGTACCCGACTAGATATTGCTTATGCAGGGAGTGTTATCAATCAATTCATGCATGATCCTCAAGCTCCTCAACTTAAAGTTGTTTATCGCATTTTTAGGTATCTTAAGTCAGCTCCAAGAAAAGAGATCTTATTTTCCAATAATTGTCACTTGAAACTAGAAGCATTTAGTGATGTAGACTTTACAAGTTCAATGGATGATAGAAAATCAACTTTAGGCTATTGTACCTTGATTGGAGGTAATTTGGTCACATGCCAAAGCAAAAAGCATGCAGCGGCCAAGTCTAGTGCGGATGCTGAATACAAAGCTATGACTCATGGGGTTTGTGAGCTTATGCAACTCCAAACATTACTGAGAGGGTGGTGGATTTATGATGATGGACCTATGAAACTATACTATAACAACAGGCCGCTGTCAACATTGACCAAAATCCAGTTCAACATGATAGAACAAAACATGCTGAAATTGAATAACACTTTATTAAGGAGAAATTAAACAAGAGTGTGATTTGCATGCATTTTGTGAAATCAAAAAACCAATTGATCGATATCTTCACAAAGGGGCTTCGTAGAAAGGTTTTTCACCTCATTGTTTACAAGTTGGACATGAGATATATAACTTATTAGGGAATGTTATGTTATGCATTATTTCTAGATTAAGGGTAGTTTAGTACTTGCATTATAGGAGTATATAGACGTTGGGTGTAGTTGTTTAACCTAATACATTATACTCTTTTCTTAATCTCTTTCTCTCTTATTCTCCAAAACTCTAACGCCGTATTAATTTAACTAAAAGATTTTTTGGATATCTCGACTCAGATCTTAATCTATGAGCACAGTCTTCCTTTGGTTCTTCGACTTCTCCCCACCACCTCTTCTTTCCCACCCTCCCCCCTACTGATGAGAATCGTATAGGAATTGGATAGATATTTTGGATTAATTATGAGAGTTATTTGAATATTTTTAGTATTTATCTTTTTAACTATTTTCTTTTAACTTTTGAGGGTTTAGTTGTCATTTTGATTATTTATTTATTTTAGGGTTTGTGATCTCTTTATATATATACGATTTGTGAACTCCTTATATACATAGGGGATACATATTTGTTGTGGAATATTTTGATTATTGATTATTGATATTAAATCCTGATACTGTTTCTTCCTCAAATTCTCTCTCTATTCTCGTCTCATTCTTCTTTTCTCATCACTTTCTTCTTCCGTTCTCATCCCTAATTCTTCCCTACTACGATCTACACCAATTTGGTATCAGAGCTAATAAGATCTAAGTCACCTGCCCCCCCCCCCCCCCCCCCCCCCCCTTTTTTTTTTTCTTTTTTC